ATGATGATGATGCTAATGCTGATGATGATCTTTATTACCGTTATTGTTATACTTATCATGTTATGATGACGATGACGATGATAATGATAATGATGATGGTGGTGATGATGATGATTATGATGATGATGCTAATGCTGATGATGATCTTTATTACCGTTATTGTTATAATTATCATGTTCGCCATCCTGGAACTAATTCAGTGTTTATACAAAAAATATTCAATGTCTGTCAACACATGTACATTATGCACCAGAAGCCAGTTCAGATCAAAATACGACAGGTTATCTCAATATAGTATTGCCACAGGTCAAATGAAATTGTGTAACCGTCTAATTTCTATGCGCTTCAACCAATATGGATCGTGGACGGCGAAGCTTCTACATGTGGCAAAACAAACTTGAGCTCTCGCTATTTCTGGTATGCAATTATTTCGAAGATTTTTACACGTTGAAATTTCGAATTTTCCGGTTGCTCTTTTACTTCGATTTTGTATCTAGATATTCATGTGTTTTGACAGTGAAGGTCCGTGGAATTTGTGTTTGTATTGTTGAAGTTATGCACTCTCGTACAAAAATACTTTAGTTTGTTGGTAATTGTGCATATTCTGACGCTGAAATGAGGTCAACCTTGAGTAAACGAGTCTCTACTCAAAGAACGCAGTAGAAATATATAAATTCTAATAAGGTCTATGATATCCTTGAAATTTAATCCGAGCTAAATTAATTTGCTTTCTTGCCGTAATCCGTCGAATAATCTAGAAAGACCACCCTGGTTTKTTTAATCAGTTTTTAAGCTTCCTACGAGATGTATATCCGTAGGGTGCCACACTTTGGCTATGATACAAAGAAAACAAACTATGTAGTAGGTAGATCAAAATTTCTTAAATATTTTTCAGGTCGATGATTTTTATTTTTCTTATTGCTAGTCTAACGAGTGGCATCTCTTGGGAATATTTGTCGAGATGTAGGGCGGATGACCCTTATCAGGACTCAACAAAAGTGGAATGGGAGGGGTGGATGGAAAAAGTGGATATTCTTGTTTCTCTTGTCTTCCTTCCTTCCTTCTTCCCTTCTTCCCTTCTTTCCTTCCTTCCTTCCTTCCTTCCTTCCTTCTTTCCTTCCTTCCTTCCTTCCTTCCTTCGTTTATTCCATGCCTGCTTTCTTTGAGACGAAAGAGAGAAGAAATCATTGCAGTCATTTTAGTCATACAACGATAACTATGACTTGCCAAACACCCTATCTAGACATTTCCCAAACCAAATATTATTAATCCTCTTAAAGAAGCCTATGACATGAGCCCTTTACGACCATGTGAAATGGCGGTCCCGTCTGAGTATGTGCAATGTTACGTCGTCATAGCCGCCATGTTCGTTGACGATAACAAAGCATTCCTCATTAGCTTCTCATTGTTTGATCAACCAACATGGTGGCTGTTTCATTGTTATTCACATCTTAAGGGATTTTGAGTCACATGGTTGCACGCACTTTATTGAACGATTCACATTCGATTCCAAGATGTTTTCGTGCCTAGTAGATGAACTATATTAGTGACCTGATATGTATGTGCTTAATCATAACCATGCGTGATAACTAAGTGAAAACACTTGGATAAGTCCCTAGATATGACATTACTGGTAAGATTACACTCTATACTACATAACGAGGGATATAAATATATATGGAGCCCTGTAAGTTCATATGGGTCGCATTTTACATAGCCTACCGATGTTTTTAAATTAAAATGCGGTATGAACTCTGTATAGAAWGAATAATTAACTTTCGCCACTGTCGGGGCAGCTTGTTGTATACAAATAGTATAGAATGAAAATAATATTGATAGYTAAAATAAGGCTTAAAACCGAACCATCTAGTCAACGTTCATTCTTTTCCATTTTGTCTCAATAGACCCTTTTCGAGTTCCAAATTACCGCTGTTTCTTGATTACAGACTCATTTACTCAGGCTTAGCCTCGAATCAGTGTCTAATTACTCACAAATACCAACGGTAAAGTGAAGAATGCACAACTGCAACAATACAAACACTTTGAAACTTGACGGACCTTGACTGGAACACGTGAATATTCTTCACAAAATCGAGGCTAAGCCTGAGTGAATGAGTCTTTAATCAAGAAACATGCTTACTGCCTCATCTATATCTAGTTTTATTTCATTTCCTCTCGCTTTTTTCCCTCGTTATTTTCCTTTTTTTTCCTCTTCAGTCAAAACCATGAACTTTAAATATGCGATTTCCTTTGAAACTGGAATGTAAGGCAACGATGAAGATGTTCAAAAAAGAGAAGGGGAAAAACTAAAGAATTTAAAGCTAATACTTTTGGAAACGCTGAAAAATGAACACGTTTCAAAAATAGGAAGGTCCCATTTTGGCAAAATACCATCCCATTTAGGCAAAATTCCAAAGAGCTGATGATGAATCTGAAAGGAAACTACAAACTGTGTCCTAAATTTAGTCTCGTTACATCAAACCCCATCGTTTTGTTTTGCATTGAAGCGAGACGACATGTGAATAATTGTCCAAGGTGTTCCTTCATCGCAAACTCGCATTTCGTCTCGCTTCGATGGAAAGGCACAGCTACCTTTCAAGGTTGCGCAGGGAACTGTGAAGGGGACTATTCCTATATATGTATATATATATATATATATATATATCCATATCCACGCTCTCAAGATCAACAGTCATAATGAGAACAAATTGGATCTATTAGTTAAGGCACCAGACATTCCTGATAACCTAATAATTTACTTAAATTTTTCAATCAAATGAAAACGAGAACGTAATATAAGGAGTTGTTTGTCAGACGTCTAGTAAATACTCATTTGAAACATAGTCTATAGGAAACACTCCATTGATATTAATTAATCGTATAACTCCCGGAACTATGAAAACATGTTTTGTTTTTGTTTTTTTTGTTTTGCTTTTGTTTTTTGTTTTTTGTTTTTTGTTTTTTGTTTTTTGTTTTTTGTTTTTTGTTTTTTGTGTTTTGTTTTTTGTGTTTTGTTTTTTGTGTTTTGTTTTTTGTGTTTTGTTTTGTTTTGTTTTGTTTTGTTTTTGTTTTTGTTTTGTTTTGTTTTGTTTTTGTCCTCATTGGCACTCTTTTTTAGTTTCTTCCTTTTGTTTTTCTTTCATAGCATAAACACTGATTTAGTAACAGCAATAAGACTAATAACTGTAAAATGACGTAGACCGTGACTAAGGTTACTATTATATCGTTACTAAAAGCCGCCTAGTGCAATTGTCTAAATGATACACAAATTCTGAATATCTTTTTATGTATATACGAGTATATCAAAAGTATATCAGAAATTATGGAATGTCATCTCTGATATTTTTTTCGAGTTGTCCATCACTAAAGGCTTTCTGAAAAAAAAAATCAGAGATGGTACCCCATAATTTCTTACATACTTTTTATATACTTCATAATTTATATATACATACAAAATTATCAGAATTATTGCATATTGCTGTATATATTACATACATGACAAGTAATTATTGATGATATCTGGTATTGACTCGACTAGTTAATACAATACATATCCTCGCGTGACCTTACACCTCATCGTATCATCACCTTTTTGTAAATTCTTAATTAATGGCTTTTCCATACTGGATTTTTTACAAGGATTTTTGGTTTTGTGTTTCAATTCTTTTCATATGTCACAGTAACACTCCAAACGACATCGGTTGACTTTGCTCCTTTTAAGTGTAAAGCAAAATATTGTACCTTTATATTTATTATTGCATGAAATTTCATGACATTTCAAGTTATAAAAGTTGTTGCAGAATTTCATTATCGTCGTCAATATCTTATACATATGAAGGGTGCTGAAAGATTGTTATTTTAGCGTCAGCAATGTTTCTTAATCTATTCATCACGAAAGCAATCTATTGAGTATTAATCCTAGACCTGAATTAAATTAACGTTTTGGATAAATTTTGTTTTAAGTAAACTTGTCGGAGAGGGTTGTGGTTGACGAATTTACACATTAACAGAAATATCTTAGAAATTTGTAAGTGAATGGACTCTTTAAAGAGAAGCACATGTCTTGTGCATTTGTTGAGTGAATTTTAGACTTACTTGGGAATCTCCTTGAAAACCTTCGTTTGTTTTTCTTGCCCTTCTTCCTTCCCAAGACCTCTACACTTGCAAAAACGAGAAGCAAAACCAAGATAAGCCTAATATCCATAGTCGTACGTTGTTGAGTCGTTGCAAGCTTGGTGAGTTCTGAGGGGTAAAGAGAGATTTAGTTAAGCGCTGCATAGATGATAGATAGGTCACAGTTGGATAGCTATCCACGCATGCAGGGTACAAAAAGTGCATTTCATCGTTAAAATAAATAACATTCTTGCATGAGAATTTTTAGTTGGTCCTTCCACGCTGGAATTTATTATTTTAAATGTACATATTTTTGTACATTGGACACAATTCTTAATACAATAGTTACCTTTAATTATTAATTCTTAGTTTTCTACTCTCTTTCATTTAGTACAACATACACGTCTTTTATAAAATATCCCATATCTAAAATGAGAATTTTCAGTTTCAGTTCAAAGTGTACTAGTTTCTTGAACTTTGTATTGTAATCTATTTTAAGTTTTCCTTTCCAAAAATAATTGTTTTTATACTTACGACTAAAATGTGAGGCCTGTTTAACATGTCTGGTAATTATTCAAACACCTCATGTCTTGTCAGAAAAACAAGACACTCTCTTGACCTATGGTTCAACAGGATTTAACATCAAAAATGTGTCTGTTTTTGTCTTAAAGACGACTCCTATTAAAAACAGACGAAAATACTTGGAGCATTCTTTGGTGAGCTTCATCTGTTTACCAAAGGATCATTCACAACCAATATAATTGTGTTCTGATTGACAAAATACTCATGCACATTAAAACTATTTTTGAAACGTCTGCTTTCAAATCCCCAAAGAAGTACAGTAGTGTACAACTTGCTTTTTTGAGTCCCTCTCTCTCTCCCTCTTTCTCGCTTTTCACTTTTTTAAAATTAATAACATCTACATACCTAACATTATAAAGACTTTTGAAACAGCAAAAAGACGAACATATTTCTTGGTAGTTTTTGAATTAGAGGTTTCTGTATCAGTTTGTTCGATTTTGATATTTTTGCCTTCCCTCCATTAATAAGGGTTATTTTGCTAAGTTAATGTTGACTGTCTGGGAACTTTTTGTGTCCACACGTCAGTTGTGTAATGATGAACAATCGAATTAAATTTTTACGGTAACAAAAAATAACAAGGTTTTTTATTTTACCATTTCCCATCTCTCCCAAACGGTTTTGGACGAAAAAAAGTTAGCGAATGGGAATCCTGCGGCGTCGGTCCAAAAAAAACAAAAACAAAAAAAACAAAACACACTTAAAGATCTTGGGTAGAAAACGTTAAAAATATTGGGAATATCATATTTTTCACCGAATCTTTCCCAACTTTACCATGAAGTATAATTTATGATACTAGTAAAAAGATTAAAAGGAAAGATTAAAAACACTGTTTCTGAAGGAGAAAAATAGAGGAATGGCTCACTGTAAGAATGAGAGGGAACAACAACGACTGTGCCTATTTGGAGCTCCGCTTTTAGGCAGTGTCTAAATTTATATTTTATGTACAAGCTTATAGTTTTTTCCCACTTGGGGAAAGGGATTCCAGAGCTTCAGTTTCTCTTGACAAGGAAAATATTTCGATATTTATATATTTTTAATATTTATTTTATTTTTTCCCCATTGGGAAAAATTAGGAAAAAAACTTAAAAGGTTTATAGTTTAAAGCTTATGAAACTATAATCTTAGATGTTAATGGCATCTCGAGGATCGCTAAGAGTGATATCTTATTTTTATATTTTTCTTCCTGTTCCTTTAATTGAATTCTAGTTATCAAATTAGCTAACAGCGAGAATACATTCGCCATTTTTTTCCACTGACATCAACCTGGACGAATGCCATCACAACTGAGCTGTTTAGCAACCAAAAAAGCATAAGCTTAAACTAAAGAAACTTAAATAAATCCTTACAGAGTAAGAAAAACAACACATAAACAAAAATACGGCTAAAAGATGAGTAATAAAGCCAATCTTTGAAGATTTGTTTTAGAAATTGAACTTTAGTGATCAAACTGAAAGTTCGTGCTTTTCACTACGAATAAAGCAAATTTTAGAATTACTTTTTACCTTACAGAATTTTAAAATCAAAACCAATGTTATATTTATATGAACTAGCATTGTTGATGTCTTTTATCAAGTGAATAGTTGATTTTAAGGCCAATACTTACAGACCATGTAGTTTTTCGCCTTTCGTTCTGACTTTCTTCACGTGTCTCGACTTCGATCAGGATCGTCCGTTAAACATCGCATGAAGCTTACAGGTGATTGGGCGGTTAACATTTCATTGATATTTTTAACCAATTGTATAAGCTGCATATTTTTCCTTTCTCTTTGATTATTTAGCACTAGCCTCCGCAGGAAACTCCTTGGGCTTCCTTTGGCATAGAACCGTGGTACCTGCGCGGTACCAACAACCGACCAATTAACCGACCACTTAACCGACCAATCACCTGTAAGCTTCACGCGACGTTTTATAGATGACCCTGATTGAATGTCCGTTGTCGTTTCTTTGTTCCAGACACCCATATACTGAGAAACGAGACAATTAAGCACATTATTTCCATTGAACGACATTTTTACCCGGATTTTACCCTCATACTGAACGCTTGAAATTTAATAGTCCCTGTGTCAATTTGTAAAATGGGAAAGTTATTTCCAATAATTTATAATTAGTAATAGGACAAGATGTTCAATATCTTAAATTGGGAGGGGTGATTTATTTACACATCTGCCAAGTTTAAAATGAAATTATTAATATATTCAATGCATTTTATTTATTTTTCTTCTATTCTTGATATTCCGCGTGTACTTAATATTTACAAATATATTTGTCTTGACTGTTCAAATATAATGTAGTGGTTGGTCAAACAAGTTTGACATTTATGAGTGACACATCTTTTGTTTAAATATAATATACTCTACATTACATTAAAACCCAAAAAGAAGAATTCATAATTCATGTAGTGGGGGTTGATCAGCTGACTGATACTTTAGAGACAAGTCATTGTTTAGGGGAAGGGGGCTTGTGCAAAAAATTAGGTATACCATCAATCCTATTCCGTAATCCCCCCTGTTCCTGATGTGCTTTTTTAATTTTTCCGACCCTCCGCCCCCCTCCCCCACAACAAACTGGAAACAAGCTTACATACACACACATATTTTTAGTTGTATGAATATGTGTCACACCCGGCCTTTTTCTACCTGCATGAAAATTATATCCGAGGCTTTTCAAATTAATAGGTGCCTAAGCTTTATGGAAAAGAATAGCATTTTTTCTTATTTTACCAAGTAAAATTATGTTCTTTGATGCTAAAAAAAAAATGGTGAGATCCATGCCTGCCACTAGAGAGATTATGTAGACATATAGGTTTACATGTATGTGTGTCATGTAACAACAATAATTTTGTCAATCATCTGATAATCTACTACACAGGCAGGGTATTAGACACAGTCCTCGTTACAGCCGATGAGAATAATCTTGTAAAAAAGTGCATTCCTCGTGTGCCTCCTGGGATATAACTCACAAAATACCTGGAAGAAATAAATAAATAAAAAAAGAGTGTAAAGTTCCCTCTGCAGGCCTTTTTTTCAACAAATTACCATTTCCAAGTTAGCAACAAGTTACTAGTTTACACCTCAAACCCCAATGCCAATACACTATTTTATTAATTTATTTGGGATTCTTGTAAACTCTAAAAAAAGATCATGTAGGCATATATGTGTGTGTATTGGTGAGAAAATGGTCCAAGACTTTTCTATGGCCCTGCCACAGCGGCATATACACCTATTTCAGAAATCATTGTCCCACCAAAAGCCTCAAGCAACAAACCAAGACTGCAGAGAACTATGGTACTTTTAGCTGTAATTAGTTTATTCATGGTGCATTTTCATTTATTTACTTCACAAATTGCTCCAAGCAAGGCTGCTTGAGATGATAATTAGTGTAGAGCTATAGCCACTTGCAAGAACCATGAATAAATCAATTTATAATTAAAATTACCGACGTTCTCTGGAGCCTTGGCTTGTTACTTGAGGCTCTTGGTGCGACAACAATTTTTGACTTTTTTTATTATATATTTTTTAGCATGTTCATTTGTTACAGTAACTGAAGTTTGGAAGGACAACTTTCTTATATTGTTTGGTTATATTTCATCAGCCAAATTTTACAGCTAAAAACACAGGAAACCCAAAGATTACATTTAGGCATATTATATTGTAATAATTAAAAATTAAATAAAACAGAAGATACAGATATTGACTAACCATACTAAGGAAACCATTTGTATGACAGCAAAAAGAATTGTCAGTATCGTACTTTTAACCTAATAGAGGCAAAAATACAAAATGTTAATGACAATTATAACAATTTGTTGTTTTAGTTTCTTGTCAGTGATCTGTTTTAACAGCAATCAATCAACATCATTTTTTTTGTCAAAGGTAGTTGTATGTGCTTAGGCCAAAACGCTGCAGTGGTTAAAACTCACTCCATAACTTATGCTATGCATCAAGCATATTAAATAAGGTTACTCAGAGATACAGCCACTGTCATTAATGTTGTCCACCGAAAAAAGACATTTACACATTTACACATTTAGACCTTTACACAATTAGACATTTAGACTAAAGTGTGTGTGAACTTTAAATGTAAATCAACTCGTGATTTTGAAAATCCAGAATGCCCCTACCATTTAGTGAGGATTTACATGTAAGATGGAGAATTGTACTTCAGCGTTTGTTTTATGCCATCTGGAACGTTCGAGGAAACACGTGATATTTCTTTTAGTCTAAATGTCTAAATTTCTTTTTTTGGTGGACAACGTTAATGACATTGACTGTATGTATGCTGTTAGAATAAGTACTCACAAATAAAGCCATGTACAGTGTAATCAACATAGATCCAAAGTATGCTGCCGTAAATGGTAATCTCCCAAGTGAACAAAGATGTTTTACATGATTCACAGGACCCCAAAGCAAAGAAAAACTAAAAAAGATACAAGTACACAAATTATTTACATTATATTAAAATACAACACCCAATTTGTATAGTTTATGTAATGTTTAATAAACGAGCAGAAGTGTTTTATCGGGTATAAAACATGAGACACAGCCAAGTGGTTTTAGACCCGATAAAACGTGATCTGCGAGTTTATTAAATGGCTTAGGAAACTCATGATGTATGTTCTCATATTGTACTGAATTCTTTATGAAATGAACCAAGTTTGATAGAGAAAATCCAAGTTAAAGTTTATGCAAATGAAGACGAATCTATATCAGATATAAAACCTCCTTCATGGTCATGATTTCTATAGTGTTTCCTTCAATTGAATTATTAATGAGTTTTCTAATAAGTTTTATTTGTTGTTCTCTAAATATACCTTTTTATTATGAATTATTTTCTCTCTAGGTTTCCAAGTTTTTCTGTTTAACTTATTTCTGTGATGATGTAGTGAAAAAAAAAAAATCATTTTGACCCCTTTAGAAACCTACCTTCCAATAGTAAATAAACTCCCCATAGTATACAGCATTACAAATTTTCTTGCTTTGAGCACTATAAATGGTGCAATAAAACCTGCCTGAAAGGAAAAAAAATGAAACAACATTTATAAAATTTTCAATTTGTATAAAATTTACATTTGATGGAAGATATTCAGCTTTAAAGTTTATCAGCACTAAGTTGGTATCTATCACAGATCACCCTCTCTATAGATAAAGACGATTATTATTATTTACATATTTATTAACTTTGCAATTATCAATTATTATTATTGTTATTATTATTATACTGTACATTTAATGAAAATTTTGAAACATTACATTCTACTTACCATCACGAAGCAGAATACTCCCATTAATAAGCACATGAAAAACCCAATTATCCTTTGTCTCTTTGACTAAATAACAGCAAGAAAAAAGAAAAAAATAAGAGTTTAAAAATGTTGTAAATTATTTGCTAACAAATAATTTCAAAAAACTAAATATTTCTTGGTAATTTTTTGAAAACTACGCGCAGATTTTCAAATATGATCCATCAAATAACTAATTAATCTGATATTTAATTAGATATTTATTAACAATATTTCAAAATGATTCAAAATCTCACCAGACTTGGTAAATAAGGATCCTCTTCAGGTTTGCTATYAAAGCAATATCCCCACTGTCCATTTTGAGATGTAGGGCTGCTTGGAGCGTGATTTGTATTTAGGTTGTCTGTGTTAGAGTTCTTTTTCGAAGATCCAAAGAGTGTAAATTCCTTCAAAGCACTTATTTTCTCCTCCATTGGAAAATGTTATTTTTGTTATTTTGAACTCTGAGTTGGCTTTTAGGGGATGGTCCGCTGACCTAATGTGCCTGAAGACGCTTTAAAAAAACAGGAAGCCCAACACGACAAAATTCAAATTCAGTTTGTATTGCTTTTGACATTATTTTGTCTTTGTTCATTCTGTTTCGAAATMATTCTTAGGAAATTTGTTATTATTCTGTCACTCAAATGACTTCAGAAACGGCTGGATTATTTTTGTTTAACAATAAAATGTACGATAGCTGGTAAGTTACGAAAATAAGACGAGCATTTCCGAGTTTATTACGATAGCGTACGAGTGCTGTACGAGTTCATAATCGGAACTAATCGGAGCTTTTGTCCAGATGGTTGCTAAGTTGGACGTAGCAGTAACAACCTCCATCTTGTCTTGACACTTTTAGAGACTTTTTAACGTATTTCAAGGGCCTAATTCAAGAGAATGGATGAATACCAGTCAGCAGAGGAGACTTCATTCGTTGTAGATGAAGTCAGTAATATAATAAAGGAAGGAATCGAGAGCGCAATCGGAGGAAACGCATACCAACACAACAAAGTCAACCAGTGGACTTCAAACGTTGTGGAGCAGTGTTTGAATCAACTTACCAAGCTTGGGAAACCTTTCAAATACATCGTTACCTGTGTTATAATGCAGAAAAATGGTGCTGGTCTTCATACTGCTAGTTCATGCTACTGGGATAATACCTCGGATGGGAGTTGTACCGTGAGATGGGAAAACAAGACCATGTACTGTATCGTCAGTGTGTTTGGCTTGGCGATTTGAAGAAGAATTCTGAAGATTCATTCACTAAAAAAGTCATTTATGAAAAACATTTCTGTCATGGACAATTTATAAAGGCCTCGAGTTCCTTCTAATACCGTCCAGTACGAAACCATAAACATTTTCCCACCTTAATTTAAACCATATTACTCCGGCCTAGATTTAGAGTGCCTTGATTATTGTGATGTCTTGAAAATCTTTATATATATTTCAATCAAGAGTCTTTCATTTTTTAAATATTATTTACCGTATATTATTACGATATCAGTATACATCTACAACTCCTGAACATATAATACTGTATATACATATGTGTGATTTAGTAGTTGTTACTATATTATGCGAGTTAATTTTCTATTATTTTTTTGTACCATTTATGTACTCAGTAGCCAAGAAGCCGTAGAAATATTTTAAAAAATTAAAAAATTACTGGATATTAAATAAATTCTAGTGGTAGAGTTCTGTAACTTCAATATTATATTTTGTTTTGAAATAGCATTGCAAGGATTGGTTTGCATTGTACTTAAGACTTGATGTTAAAACTCCCTTTCATTTATCCTAAAGATTGGTTTTTCAATCAATTTATACTCATGTGCTAAAGCCTAGTCTGCATGACTGCCGAATGCAGGCTGGCTAAGACCATTCAAGTGTACAACTGCTTAATTTATATTTTTTGATTTCACAGTTGTTTATGGTCAATCTTTTTCAACCATAACATACACAGTGTTTTGAATTCCTCAAAAAGCTTAAGATATTTCAAGCAAGGACGATCCATCGTTTGTTCCTGAAACATGGGGTTTCAAGTGTGTCACAACAAGCATATTAATTTAAAATATGCTTGATAGCACATGTCCACTTAATTGCTTTTTCGGTTCACTAAACATAACTTTACAAAAGCTAAGAACTGCTGTTTATGATCTTTCTATAGTTGTAACATTATTTTATCAACCTTTTTCTAAAATAAGACATTTTGAAATGTTTACAATGAAAGATCTATTGGAAATCTAAAATGTTGAATTTGAAAAAAAWTTTTTTTTTTWAAATTGATGGAGTAATCAAGGGATAGCTAGCCCTCCTCCCCTCCCTCCACAAATTATTTACCGAATGAATGTGACTGAAGTGGTGATATATTTTTATAACTATCTATCCATTGATCTTGACTTGCTCATTTTGGCAGTTGCTAAATGACATCCAAAAATTATTATAGAGAGCCATTTTTATTTAGCAGTAATGTATGAGGAGGAATGTCAATATGGATTATGCATTAATATTTTCATATGAGTAAAACGAAGAACTCTTATAAATGGGAAATATCACTACGCCCGAGTGCCAGTCCATAAAATTACTTTATCTCATATATATTAGATATCACGTTAGTCAGACTAAATAAATTGGTAAGGTCAGGAGCACCTACACTTAAACATATAATTTTCAATCATTACTTTCTGAGATAATTAAAATGATACAATGAAATAAAAGTAAATTATAAATGGAAGGGATGAGTCAGTCTTTACGAATACCGCGCAGAAACTGGGACGGGGCTTGTCTCCAATCCCAATCAGCCGTTTAGTAACACAGGAATCCCTACATGTCAAGTCTGGAAACAGAAAGAATCAAACTTTTTCTGCAGAAATGAAAATTAATGAAGCAATATTATTATAAAATGGGATGAAATATGGTTCGAGTATTGCTGTGTCATTATTTTAAATCCCAAAGGATCTTTAGTGAATCATACCAGCCGACTAGTTTGTGCTCTACCCGAGAGTACCTCTTTGTAGGTGTTGGTGGCTGTAGAGTATTTGTCTACTCTCTTGAAGAACCTAACTTCCCTCTTGTCTGCCAGTTCTCAACGATTTCTACAGCTGTAAAACTCATCTGTAATGATAATTCTAACTACTTAGCTACGATTGAACGCAGACAGCAACGAGATGTGACAAAGTTTGCTCGAGTTTACTTCAACTGGAACAGAGCGACTGTGAACGAGCCGGTACGAGTTCTGGTAGCAGGGCATTCTTTAACACAACGAAACATTGATTATAATCAAGAATTTTCAGCTATAGAGCTGTCAACATCAAGTCGTGTCACAGGCATCGCGAGTTGTAAGGCTTCAGGGAATGTTATTATTTCAACAGATGGAAAACTTTGCCTTTATAGGCAGTGTGTCGTACGGAATGTTATACCGGAAGTACAGTCTTCAGAATGTGGGGGTGTCAAAATTAGTGATTTTGAACACTTTTTGGACATAAATCCAGGATTTGTTGTACGAGGAATTGATCTATGTGGTCCATATGTTACATTCAGGTCCAAGCTTGAAGTTCGAGTTATTAAGTTGGTGTTTTTTACTCAAACAGAGGAGAGGAGGCAGAGAGCCACCAATGCTGGAGAAAAACACAGGTGAATAAAAAACTAGTAATGATGAAAAGGTAAATTATACACCGTGAAAAGGTGTATAATTTACCTTTTCATCATTACTGTTTCATTAGAAACACCGACGCAGCTCACACTAGTTTTTAGCTAGTTATATCTTTTGAATAAAAAACTAACATCTCTGAAAAATGGGGAGGGGGGGGGAGGGGTGGGCAGGGTAACATAAGGGAGTTTGTTGGAATTTTATACCCTCAAAAAAAGACGTTTTCAGGGCTTAAAATAACTGCCACTCTTCAATAAACAGGATGCATTGTGGTCTAGCTTCAGTACAAGCAGCACCATAGAAGGCATGATGAACAAGAGATGTTTGTTGCAAAGCTAGACCACAATGCACCATGTTAGCTATCTCAGAAAAGGTATATTGTCTACAAACCAATTTCTACTATATATATAATATTATAATGTACTATAATATATATTGCTAATTATTTATCCCAAATATTATCTTCCAGTGAGCTCTCAAGGATCRATCCCAGCATAGCTGTTGCTGAGAACTCCAAAGAGGTGATTGACGAGAACTGCACTTTCTGGTCATTTGGCGCTAACCCCTCACTATCATACAAAGAACCCAGCAGCTTTGTACAAAGTGAATGCTTATTCAGAAAAATAAGATCAGAGTCTACATATACAGACACATTTCTTGATCCCAAAGAGGTGATTGGTCCAATGGTGGAGGTTAAAGGTCATCCACTTAAGGTGGCTCTTTCTGGAAGATTTGGAATTGGTATAGCTGTGGGTAAAGAAAGATATTCTGTCCAGGCAGTAACAATGCTGTACAGAAGATTTAGGGCTGAGAACCTTTGTAATAGCGATAATGAAGTAGCAGCTCTCCATTCTCTTCAGCTTTTACCAACTTACACTAAAGGTAAACACGTATGCAGTCTGGACCTTTGAGTTGAGGGGGTGGGTGACTAATTACAGACCTATAGCATCAGGTTATAACTGCTAACCACTAGGGGTCAGGTCCAGAAAACACACCTGCAAACACAGAGTAACACTTAATATGGTGCCACTTCCAGCGACGACTTGGTTATGACACCTTGCTAATTTCAAAATGTTTGGCCAAACGCCTGAGGTCGAACAGCAGTTTGAGGTTTGCTGTACCTAGGAAGTAYGTCATGCTAAAGGTCTTTTTTGACCCTGCCCCTTCATGATAATATCCAGTAAATTTGTAGATCTTAGCCCACTGCTCTTAGTCTTAGTCTTAGTCTGCACTCCTTGGTAAGGTCTTTTTTATTCATATTACCCAATATCAAGTTAATTAATAAACTTGAACCATATGATTATTATTATTATCAATATCATGATCTAGATCATCTTTATAATCATCTGCATTATCATCATCATCATTATCATCATTGTCATCATTATTTTTTTATTTGGCTTTCAACAAACTGTTGACTGCGGATACATGTACTGTATTTCCTATTACCATTATCATCAACATTATTATTATCAACACCATCATCATCAACATCACATCATTCCCATCATCATCATCAGATATTAATAATGTTTAAAAAAAAACTTGTCATGGCTAATCTGAAAGCATGTGAAAGAAAGTGCTTCTGGCAGTCGCTATACAGTCCATGTATGACCCCGGAGCACAGCTCTCACTACTACTACTAGTTTGAATGACAGGTAGTTATCATCATTAATACATACTGCACCTGAAGATGTCACCATGTCTGTTGCATGTGTAGGTGTCTGGATTTCAGTGTCATCCTCATATTGTGTTGGGTACCTGTAAATATTTATTTAATACAGTAATTACCCTTCATTCTAATATCAACGATGACTTCTATTCACAGGGCTGGAACTAAACAGAGAAGATCTAGTATCACCCCTGAGACCATGCCGTGGCCAAGATATTTCACTTTGTGGTATCTGTGTCATAGTTTCAGGCCCTAAAGAGGGTTATGTTTATGATGTTCTCAATACTCCCAGACTATTATCAGTTTATAAATATACCCGTGATACTATAAAAGTGTCTGTCTGTCATACTCTTCTCCATGCAATCACCAGTGAAGGTCTTGAGACTTATACTGTGAGGATGTTTGCTGCAGCATCTGAAGCCATACGGGAGAAAGAAACTCTAAGACTGCAAAACTTGAAGGCGGAGGTCATGTCAAATGTAGCTGATGCTAATATACATAAAGAGGGTTCAAGCCAAACTGATCAAGATTCAGGAGTGAAAGATTTAAAAGAGAGAAATAAAGAAAATAAGATTCTTCCAGAAGAGAATAATGTTGAAGATCAGTTAGAAGCATCAGCTGCAGCACCTGCATCATCATTTCATGTCGAAGAAAGTGACACAGCATCAATGGAAGACTCCTCAAAGGAGAATAGTTTTACTAGCTCGATCTCAAATGATTCCAAGAAAAAATCTCCCATGGTTTCACTCTCAGGGTTTGGACCTCTCGACCAAGACATTACTGGGGAGATGGCAGGGGATCAGCTGACAAACTACTTAGAAGAAAAACTTCAAGCTCTCCCTTCTAAGGGGCTTTCTCATAGCAACAGTGAGAAGCTCTTGAGAACGACGAACTCTTGTCTACCCATCATTGAACTTAGCTACCTTAACACGGTAGGTATGAAATTGTAGCAGATGATTTTGAAGTGTGCCAAATTTTTATGTACTTAAATGAACAGGCCATTATTTGTTGCTGGGGGAATTGGAAGATTTTTGCTGCAGCATGATAAAGATTACAGTTCGAATCGAAAACCCATGGGCACTTAGGAATATTCCAGGAATGTTCTATTGTTCTTTGGCCAATCAAAATTGACTTTCTAACCACAAGATAATGGAAAGATAACAACACTTCTGATTGGTTAAGGAACATTCTTGAAATATTTATAGGTGCCCACGGTTTTTGGATTTGTAAATGACCAAAGAGGCACTACCTTTTCATGTGAATAGTGATTGCAAGGTGGTTGATAATCTTTGTGTCATCCCCCCCNCCACACCACCCACCACCCATCCCCCTCCTTTCTTCCTTTTTTGACCTCCAGTGATCTCTACAAAAAACCAGTCTTTAATATATGCAAGTGTATCTTTCTACAGCTGTGCCCCCCATCAACACTGGATATCTGTCTGATAGGGATGTATCCCTTTGCTGGCCCGTCCTACGTCATGTGTTCTGAAGGAAGTGTTGTCCTGTTTACGAAAGCTTCACGGGCAGTGGCTTCTTCAAGGTTTGCATCATATTGAAGTTTTTAATCGATAACTTGAAATAACCTCCCTTCTTATTTTAGTCAATGTCAGTACTTGGCTAACTCTCAGATTGAACCCTAAAACAGCCTCTGGGCTGGTCTAAGTCAGGGCACATAACAAACTACTCCGGTGTGCTATTTCTAGCCGTGTTCAAGCCTCTGGTATCAGTCCTCATCCAGAATGGTCCATTTATCTACTACAAAACATGGATCCCGTGCAGCTTTACAAGGCTGTTGTGAGTAAGACACTTTCTATATTTAAGGAATATAAAACGGCGCGCGTGTCTATGTACTGTGATATATACGCGAAGGGAGCTGTAGAGCAAGAGGGAAGTCGTAGAGAAACACGAGGCGTTGCCAAGTGTTTCTTTGACTTCTCGAGTGCTCTACAGCTCCCATCGTGTTTATATCACAGTATATAGACACAAGCGGACGTTTGATATCGCTTTTATAAATATTTTTGAATGATTTCGCGCGAGCATGTCTCTGTCCTCTTATTTATAAAATATTTGTTATATAATTGGCTGGCTACCGTGTTTATATCAGAGGACAGAGACACGCTCGCGCAAACTCGTTCATGAATATTTTGTTAAAGCAATATATAAAACGGTTGCTTACGTCTTTGTACTGTGATATAAAGGATGATGACGTCTTTTCTTTTTTTAGTAAATAATAAATGATAGTACAAACTGAACATGTCTACCTCTTCGTTCACTCGATCTTTACATTTTCCAGATGCCTCTAGCAAACCGCTGTCAGAAGCCCAATCCACAGGCCTTCCACCATCTAGTCTGCGAGCAGCACATGTTCCTCAGAGCGTGCTGTTTGCCTGAAAATAACAAGGTGAAGAAGAAWATCACGAAGTTGATAAGTGAATCTGCAGCTAACCTTGGAGATATTTATTCAAGGTAATGCCTCTAAATTTTCATTTGTTGCCTGCCTGCCTGCCTCTGCCT